AGGCAGCGGCCGCCTCGCCCGTGGGGCTGGCGTGTCCCCCAGAGCAGTGAGCGAAGTGCAAGGCAGGGACGCGATCACAGCAGCAAAGAGGACAAGGACGCTGGAAATGGGGGCGATCTCCCCCTCCCATAGCTGTTAGTGGCTGTTTATTGGGCAGGCGTCGAACAGTCTGGCAGAGCAGGGTCTGCGCCCCTTTGCCCGGCTGCGGGTGCCCCTCTGGCGCGGCCGCCCCACCGGGCTTTGGCGCAGGGCGTATAGTTCGTAGCGAGCTCGGGTGGAGGAGAGGAGGGGTGTTACTGGTGCGACTTGGGGTTGGAGGGGTGTAAGGAGGAGTCATCAAACAGCGGGTTCCTCACTTCCATTTCTCCAGTCTGTGGCGGTGGAGGGAGCGGGATGGGAGGGAAGGAAAAGGCAGGAGGTCAGAAACCAGCTGGGAGTTGAGCCGCCTTGTCCCAAGGGGTTCGAGTCTGAACTCCAGCCCAGCAAGGAGGAGGGAGGATGTGGGGCTCCTCGTGGTCTGGGATGGGGTGACACACACCAGGACCCCACTGTCAACCCTGGAAAGGCGCTACTTCCCCACCAGCAGTGGCCAGGGATGCTGGGATGTGATGATGGTGTGCAAAACCCATGGTCCCAGATGGGATGGGACCCCACAGCCTGGCTGGGGACTCCAGCACAGGAGCCCCACCCTGGCTGGCAGAAATGGGGTTCCTTGCCCAGACTGCCTGCTTGCCATCAAGTGTCCTTTAATGGGCCTGTAAAGACCTAATGATGACCCTTAATCTGGGCCCTGATGGCCGGGCTCCGCTGCCATTACCATGTGAAAGGCTCCTTTCGGGTCTCTTTGTGCTCTTTGTACCCAGGACTGTTAGGAGCTGCCCTTCCCCGGGGTCCCCTGCTAGCCGGGAAAGTCCCCCCTGGTTTTGAGGGGGTCACAGGTCCCAGTCCAGGCACTGGGGAGGCACCAGGACAAGCTCCCCGGTCCCGATACCCCAGAGCCCGAGGTGACCATGTCCCTGGCACCGCAGGGACGGCAGGTTGTGTCTGCCAAGGGCTGCTCTGGCTCTCTGCTCCCGGGGCCATGGGGCAGGGCTGCCCGGGGAAAAGCCCCGTACCGGGGCCACCCATGCCACAGCGCCTGCTCCTGCCCACTGGAGGGCTCCAGTGGGACCTGGCCAGGGCACATGGGGGAAGCAGAGGGGTTGGACTATCTCAGGGTTTGATGAAGGACGTGTTTAAAACGCTCCTTGCAAGGAATGGCACATCCCAGGCATGTGTTGGGTCCAGCCCCGCGCACACAGGGTCCCTCCCAGCTGCCCTGTGCCCACCGTACCGGAGCCAGCCCAGGGCACTCGTACACGGTGAAGTCTCCGTCCTCATTCTCCTCGTCGGAGGATGCCGAGTCTGGCAGTTTGGGCTCCTCTTTATGCCTGGGGGGAGAGAATGCAGAGAGGGTGTGAAGCCCAGGGGGATGATTAATGGCACCCCAGTTAACAGCAGGGCACGGACCAGCAACTGGGTCTGCTGCCTTCTCCTGGGGCTGCTTACTTCTCCATGGAGAGCATCTGCTGCTTTTGGTGCTGGTAGTGGTACATCTGGGCGCTCTGAGCCAGCGTCTTGTCCCCGGGCTGTGGAGAGAGCAAGGATGGCTGTGGAGGCTGGGCAGGTGCCCCCCACCCGTGTCAGGAGCCCCTCAAGCAGAGCACAGGCCTGGCCCCAGTGCCAAACACCCTGCAAGGAGGGACGCGGGCGCCTTATCGAGATCTTGTCGTAGGACAGGGGGCTGGCCGCTCGCTGTGCCGAGTAGTCCACCTTCTGCGCCAGCCTGACCTCCTTCTGCAACCTGCCAGGGGAGAGGAGAGTGGTTGGCATGAGCCACCAGAGTGGATGACCCCATATGGGAGCCAGCGACCTCCAGGGGTGGCTCAGCCCTCCCACCCACATCCCTGTTCCCTGTGATGGCACCCACAATGGGTGGCACCCCAGGCACAGCCACCTCATCCCGCCAGTGCCTGCACACAAGGCACTGACATGTCTGTGGTGTCAGTACCCAGTGCCACAACGATGCCCAAAACAGGTGCCACCCGCTCCCAGGAGCCTGTGCCTGGCGTGAGGCTGTCCCACCGCTGTCCTCCAGCCCTGACCGGCAGACGCCGTACCCCGTAGGACACGGCACATCTGCAGGGGGACTGGCAAGGGCAGCTGTTGCCTCTCCTCCAAGTGCCTGGGAAGGACAGGAACAGGCTCCCAAGGGCAGAAGGATGCTGAGGGACTGGCTGGG